TCTTCACCTCTCCCAGCCCCCCTCCGCGGCAGAAATCCCCCTCGCCCTCGCAGCTGACCCCCCTTCTCGAACTCATGGTCGATCGCTTCTGCGACCCGCTAATCTGCGATTTCCTCTTCGCCGATGAGCCGCTCCACATCCAGCCGCTCACCTCCCCCGATTTTGCCCGCGCCTGCTTTGTCAGCGAGCTCCTTTGCACGCGCGTCGCCTCCGCCCCGACCCTCCCGCTCTCCAACCCGCACGCGTGGGGCTTCGACAACCGCCGCCAGAAAACCGCGGGCAACTACCTCTTCTCCCACCGCATGACCCTCAACCAGCTCACCCTGGGCGTCGGCGTCCTCGAGGTCACGGAAACCATGGAGAACGCCGCAGAGCCCGACCCGGAGCAAGCCGTCACCATCTGCCATGACCTGCGCTTCATGTACGACTCCGTCAAGCGCCAGATCCTCGTCGTCATGGACGTCCCAGAAACCGAGCACGTCATCATACAAACCGCAGAGTCCGACTCCGCCATCGAGGGCTACATCTTCCTGGCCACCTTCCGCCGCAGAGAGCTGCGGGACCTCATCCGCAATCGTCGCGCCGAGCTCTCCATCTCCACCCTCATGAAGGAGCTCATCGGCTCCGTCCACACCTCGCGCATGCGTTCCTGCCCAACGTGCGGCGGCGGCCCCGCCTCGGCCTGCACGTGCTACGCACGCCTCGCCGCCACCCGACGCGCAAAACATTTGTTTGATCCCGACTTGTTCAAGTTTTCCATCATCCAGGACTTTGGTGATTACTTTGGCGTTACGAGTAAAGTGCTGTATGACAGGGGGAAAAGGATGAGCCGGTCCAAACTAGGCGCCCAGCTTTCTCTGAGAGCCAACTACGATCCAGACGTCGCTGAGAGGCTGCGCAATTGGTCGCTCACCAAGTTTGCACGTGGCCAACACGAATGGCCCAACCCGTCGCTGCGCCTCACGGGCGGCTCACGACGGCAAAGCCAGTATGACGATGCCGTCGTTATGTACGGTGAGGACGGGGATCGAGAGTTGCTAAAGGAACGGAGCCCGATCGAACAACTGGAGCCTCTGCTTGATCAGCTGAGCACGCTGCACATCGAGGACGACGACGACGACGAAGACGAAGACGACGGAGGGGGTGATGTAGCCGTGACAGAAGCAAATTTGACAGAGCCAGGCGGCGAGCAGTATTCGCATTTGCTGCTTTCGGAGCCGGTAGCGTACGATGTGGCTTCGCCAGTGAATTCGCAGGTCACCTCGCAGATGACAAATGGGGGCGCACCGTTGAGAGGGATGACCATGTCGCCGTCTATGACGACAGAGAACTCGAGCACGGCGCCGGACTGGTTCCAGCTTCAATCTTCCTCGGACATGCTCCCCGCCGCCGGGCCGGACGCTCAAACAGTCAGCTCTGCTTTCGAAGCCGAAAGCCTTGTCGTGCCCCTACCCTCGCAACAGGTGCCTGCCCCAGTGGCTGCGGTGCAATCGTTCTCTCCCGGGACGACGCGGACGCAGGTGTCGATCCTCCAAGACTTGCAGGCTGCGCGGCGGCGGGTGCGTAACCGGGCGTCGGCAAACAGGAGCAACCAGAGGAAGAGGGCAATCAGAGATAAGGTGGCGGCGGACTTGAAGAATATGAAGGATCGGTGCGAGGAGCTCAGGAAGGAGGAGGTGAGATTGAGGGCTGAGAACATGGAGCTTAGAAAGAGCCTGAGAGATCCAGAGGCGGTATGAAAAGCAGACCGAGGCCAACCTAACTCTCAGCATGTACAATATTGTACAGTAGTGAAACCGGCTGTACTGTATGTACGCGTATAGGCGGAGTAAATTTATTACTGTCAACTTTGAAGCTTCTTCTCTTTGTCTTGCCAGTTGGGATCTCCAATGCCCTAAAAGCATTCCCTTTACAACTCGTCATGGGGGCGGGCCTTGCCTCAAGCGGTCGACGTCTCCCCCACACAACGTCAACCGCACAGTCGCATCCCGACGCTCATCAATCCATTTCGCCCTTGCGCATGGAGTGCGAGCGCAGCCTTCCGTAGTCTCACTCGAGCTTTCCGCTTTGCTTATGACGTGGATGCCTGGCCGCCAGTATCCAAATCGACGTGTGGCACCTATCCCTTCTCGATCTTGATTTCTCCAACATTCTGTCACAGTTTCCGAGAGCGTTCGTTCGGCAACATATCAATTTTGACTCCGCAGCAAAGTGCAAGCTTCAGCTGCACTGCATCACACGTAATGGCGACGGTGCCGTCGAGCCATGCGATACGCTCGTGCCGCCGACTTGCCGCCGGATTTGTCGACGGGCATCCATTGTCCTAGCAAAAGATCATTTTGATTCTTCCCTCCGCCCCACTCCCACAGCCAATGACTTGCTGAAGCAGGGCATATTGTATCTCACCTCCTGTACGACTCGATCTCTCAATGCGGTGCTGCGATCACTGCGAAAGTTACAGTCAACTATGCAAGCCTCTCAAACCCGCCGCACGCAAAAGTGTGAGCTTTGTCCCTTCTTCGATTGGGAGTGCCGAGCACCTGCCAGCGTATTTAAGGTAGAAAAATGCTCGCGTCAGGTCAAAAATACTTCGAATTGATTCTTTGTCAGTCTTCAACTCACGCAACCTCAACTCTAACTTCGAATGCACGTCCCCCTCTCCTCGAACAAACCGACAGTACACAGTATGAAGCCACCTTCAACACCAACGTCTCACCAAAGTCTCACCAAAGTCTATAAAACTGGCCATCCCCGTCCCCTTCCTCTGTCTTCTTCCTCCCCAGACCCTCACTCCTCACACAACTTTCAACATTCTCTTCCATTCTCTATCTTCGTGCAAATACCTCTGTCATCGATATGTCTTTCACTGATACCTTCTCCATCACCCCTGTCCCACGCGACGGCGCGTCCAACGTCCCTCGCCGCATCAGGAAATCCTTCTCTTACTCTGCGATGTTCCCTCCTTCCCCCATCCTGCGAGACGGCGAGTCTCAGGTAAGTCGCCGCGTCAAGTCCTCGCTCCCGGCCCCCTCGCATTTGCTTGCTCACCCACTAACCTCGCTGTCCGCGCCCTACCGTCCGCCCCGCATGCCTGTGACAGAATCCGTCCCTGTGTCCGGTGACTTCACACTTGCGGGGGTAGAGGGCGTGGACAGCAATGGCGTTTACCTCTCTCACCAGAAGCGCCGGAGGGACGCTTACTCTCTGGTCGTGTCCGACATGTCATGCAGCGTGCAGAAGAGGAAATTCAAGAATCCGCTCCGGGCCGTTCGGGGAACCTTCAACCGTGTGCGATTTGTGTTGTGGTGAGGCCAGCAGGGGAGCTGCCTCTGACGCGGATGGTTTGAGGGGTGCGCAAAGAGCGACAAAGAAAACGGCAAGCGTGGTTGCTGTTTTTTTGGAGGTGGAGGTACGGCCGTGTTGTTCCCGTTTGGGAACGATGCGGTCGTGCCTCCATCTTTTTTTTTGGCCAGTTCGCGAGACGGTGACAAGTGACCACGTCGTCAGTCAACTAAAATATTTAGTGGAGACTAGAGAGGATAGGCATCCGTTTGTGGATATAATTGTGCTTTGGAGGAGCCTTGCGGCAGAGTTGTGCTGCATTTTCGGAAGTTCAATGAATTAGATCGCAGATGATAGGAATTCATTCAACCAGCTGTGTGATTCCTCCTGCAATTTGTAGGAGAGTGGCTCCTGCTGCGCTACCACCTCGCATCTAGACGTAACTGTAAAACTTGGCGTTCCGCCTACTGCTGTGCTTTGAAGCACCACGTTCTAGTTGCAAATTACTTCCGTCTTGTCTCACAAGCAAAAGGCTGCAAGAAGAACGGATGTCGCAGGACAAAGTTTTAATACAAGATGACGAAAAGTGAAGTAGACACCATAACAGAGCCCTCTGCGATGTAGATTGGTCGCACTTGTTGTTAAGAGCTCCCAGCGAAACGTATATGATACAAGGACGCGTAGACTGGAATCTCTGCATGCTCACCATATATAGTAGCGAGCATCTACTCAATTTCTATCTTCCGCGGCTGCGACGCCTTCGCGTGCGGCAGTCGTAGTGTGAGCACGCCGTCCTTGTGCGCCACGGTTTCAATCCGCTCAACGTCGACGATTTGCGGGACGTGGAAGACGGCCTTGAACGTCTTCGCTGCTTGTTTCTCCGTGCTCTTCTCATCGGCCTTTTCCTGGGCCTCTGCGGTCTCCTCCGAAGCGGCGTCCTGGCGCCGCTCCTTGAAGCGCTTTCCGACGACGACGAGGCGGCGGCCCTGCATGGTGACCTGCAGGTCGCTACGCGCCACACCCGGCAGCTCGATTTCGACGAGGAGGGCGCCCTCCGCGCTGTGCTGCGAGAAGGACGGCTCCACCTCGGATGTCCGCGCCGCGGAGGCAGGCATGCAGGCGGACAGTCCGCCCAGAGAGGATGCGAAGGGGTGCGGTAGGCGACGGTCGTGGAAGGTCAGATGCGTGGAGAAAGGGGCGATTTGGTACATCATCTTGTGGGTGGGGGTGAAGGCGTTTGAGATGGTCGTAGGTTGTGGTGGAGGGTGAGGATTGTTTTGTGGGATGATGCGAGGAGTCAAGTTCGGACGCAGGGCTTTATAGACTTTTGCGAGAGGCAGAACGGGGTCGAGTTGCTGTAGGTTTTGTCTTTTCGGTAGATGGTTCGTTTCGTGAATATTCTAGAAGAGTGTGGATGGTGTGGAGGGCAAAGGATTTATGGCTTCAGAGGTCCTGACGTGTAGACACACTTCCATGAAGAGCGTTTGTTGAATTCCTCATTTTCCTTCCAGGAGCGAGATGTGGAGTATCTACAGCGCTTCTCCGAAGGATTAGTTTTTTGGATGACTCCATTTGTGCTCTTCTACCTCTAGCTAAAGCGATGCTCCTACGCGCATTTATCCGTAGAAAAGGAGCGTTTTGCAAAATGGGCTCACAGTGATTGGTTGTGGCCGCGTTAAGTGGCGGATGATGGCGTTGTTTCATTGGCCAGAAGATTTTTCTAGAAACCTCAACGATGGAGATTCCAGACTCCTGTTTCCTAATGCTTGGCCTGGAACGCCGTAGACGTCCGCTGAGATGCGAAGGCACAGCCCAGAAACACTACATTGCGTTGGGAAATCTCCACATCTCGCTATATTTACTCCCGCCGCTTCCGATTTTGACAGCGACTAGAGTGAGAAGTATCCAGATTTGAATACCCCAAGAGACCATACGTCTGGATTAAAAAACGGCAAACACATTCCAGGGTCCTCAATAAAACACGCTCCCGAAACGACCGTACTTTACCAAACTTTATCTCGACGACTTGCTCCCATTGCCTACGCTGAAACGCTGACATTTGGCCGCGCGCCATCCCATTCCCTAATTTATGCGTCTGCATGTTCTGCTTCCGCCTCCATGTGACATCATCCAATGCCCAAGCACGGCTCTCCCCAAAAGTGACTCGTATCAGGGTATTCCACGAACCCCCATTCCACCACATATTTCCTTCCCTCCCCTCACTTCCATGTCTATCTGCCTCACACGCAATACCATCTCCGTTCCAAGCTGGAGCCAACCTCCCTGTACGACAGCTTCCCCCCTTGCTCTACACTTGTTCCGGAACACCTGCCCACGCGTGTCCTGATCTGACAGTCATGTGCTTCAAACACAGCACCTCGTCCACTTTCATCACTTTATGCTCAACCGCCCCAGCCCAATGAAAACATAAGCTTGTGGGGGTATCTGCAGTATCGAACCTCGTAGTTTCAAGGGCCACCCCGTTCGGCAACATGGCTCTAGACTATGAAAATTGGGGCATCATTACGATTTTTCTTTGAAGTATGGATAACGAATGGTTCATTAACTACACGGCACACACTATCGCTTCTTCAGGTAACCATGTGGTTACGATAGCTTGGAATGTGAGCAATGGGCGACAAAATGGGAGCAAGCAGGCTGCTCAGCGCCCCTCACAGGAATGACCGATGTCCTCAGAACCAAACTTGCCTGAGTAGCCCAAGTCTAACTCTTGATGCCTGTGCACACACTCCTTTCTTCTTAGAAGCTGATAAACGCGAAGATACGAGCGGGCAAAGACGTGCTACTCTTGAGAAAAAAGCCAAGCTCTCCCTCGAAGGTCACCATAAAACCGTAGCCGACAGCTTGTCAACCTTTTACAACGTATTTTTTGATATCTGTCTACATTACGGTATACACATCCTTCGTGACTCATGGATCGGAAGTAAAGTTTGCGAGCATTTATTTACCTTTGCGTGTACTGCGTTGTTCAAAAAGTTGACACGTACCGATAATACTGACAACAGAATCAGCGCAACTAAACAATTTCTCGCGGAACCTACAGCAGTCAAGCTTACGACATCGCGACAAACGACGGGGTCACTTGTCACCGTCTCGCGAACTGGCCAAAAAAAAAGATGGAGGCACGACCGCATCGTTCCCAAACGGGAACAACACGGCCGTACCTCCACCTCCAAAAAAACAGCAACCACGCTTGCCGTTTTCTTTGTCGCTCTTTGCGCACCCCTCAAACCATCCGCGTCAGAGGCAGCTCCCCTGCTGGCCTCACCACAACACAAATCGCACACGGTTGAAGGTTCCCCGAACGGCCCGGAGCGGATTCTTGAATTTCCTCTTCTCCACGCTGCACGACATGTCGGACACGACCAGAGAGTAAGCGTCCCTCCGGCGCTTCTGGTGAGAGAGGTAAACGCCATTGCTGTCCACGCCCTCTACCCCCGCAAGTGTGAAGTCACCGGACACAGGGACGGATTCTGTCACAGGCATGCGGGGCGGACGGTAGGGCGCGGACAGCGAGGTTAGTGGGTGAGCAAGCAAATGCGAGGGGGCCGGGAGCGAGGACTTGACGCGGCGACTTACCTGAGACTCGCCGTCTCGCAGGATGGGGGAAGGAGGGAGTATCGCAGAGTAAGGGAAGGATTTCCTGATGCGGCGAGGGACGTTGGACGCGCCGTCGCGTGGGACAGGGGTGATGGAGAAGGTATCAGTGAAAGACATATCGATGATAGAGGTATTTGCACGAAGAAAGAGAATGGAAGAGAATGTTGAAAGTTGTGTGAGGAGTGAGGGTCTGGGGAGGAAGAAGACGGAGGGAAGGGACGGGGATGGCCAGTTTTAGACTTTGGTGAGACTTTGGTGAGACGTTGGTGTTGAAGGTGGCTTCATACTGCGTACTGTCGGTTTGTTCGAGGAGAGGGGGACGTGCATTCGAAGTTAGAGTTGAGGTTGTGTGGTTTGACCACTGACAAAGAGTCAATTCGAGTTTACGTGGCTCGACTCGGACAGTGTGCAGATAGGCATGAGACGCTCACCCAAATGTCAGTGTCTGTAGAGTGTGAGCAGTACTCGCCGCTGTGGTGCTCTCGTCCATGAAGTCTCTTAATTATTTAAATAGTAATAACGACATAGAAGCTCATCGTGTCTTCGGAATACATGTGACCATTTCTAACGCCTTCTGAATATGTAATATAAGAGGAGCGAACAAGCAAGAGGCCAACACCTCCCGCATTCTCGTTGTTCCATTTAGGATCTTTCGGTCACACGCCGTTACACGAACACAGCATGGCTTCTCTGAAAGTGAGCGGCTGTACTAACCTTGCCGCTGTACCTCTCTGGCATGGCGGTGTGCAGCTTAATGCGAGGCTGCTTGCACTCGCCGGAGTTGGAGGTTTTCCTGCCGAAGAGAGACTTCCCTAACTCGAAGTTCTTCGGCCTTTTCTTTCAGTGCCTGTATCTCAGCTAGAAGCCCCTCTCGATGTTCTCTTATTCTTTGGTTGGAACGGCGCGCAGCGGCTCGGTTGCGCTCCCTGCGTTCTATCGCTCTCTTTCTCCTTTCCGCTAGGTCTGGGACTGTGGTTGTCTTCACACCATTCTTCCGACCAGTTGGAGCCAGACTGCTTTCCTTGCGCGAAACAAAAACGACTTTCGGCCGTGGAGCCAGCAGATTACTTTTGCCGCCTCGCTCAGTCGAAATGCAGCTGACGATAGAAGTGCTCTCAAATCCATTCATACGCTGGAGATGTCGATCACTGCGGGATTCCTGGGTCGTACATCGCTTTTTCATCAAAGTCGGGGAAAGGCGATAGCATTCTTGAGATGGACTAACTCTGTCGCAAAAAAGAGATGTGAAAGGATCCGGGTCACTTCCTGACGCTTTTGTCAAGCATATTTCATCTGCGCAAATCGGAGAAAGGCTATCATGCTCATGAGATTGAACGAGACTGCCGTGTCTGTTTTGTGACGCTGAGGCGTCGGGATCTAAGCATTCCAGGTTTTCAAGAGCGTCATTTCCTAAATTTGTATCTAGAAGCTGTGGCATAGTGCTTACCACTTGGACATCACGCGCGGCAGAGAGTGAATTTGAAACCAGGGACATTCGAGGGTTGTTGCTCAGGCGCATCAGAATCACCTTGATCGCATCGGAGCTCAAGCGAAACACAATAGAAGTGTCGAGAAACGGCTCCAGCACATAGCGATTGCCCAAAGTAATGTCATGAGACTGACTTGCCTGCCAGAACATGGCCTTTTTGGAAAAGCCGGTGTACACGCCTTGCTGTAGCGTCATGTGATAGGAGAAAGAGCCTGTGTCGAACGGATGAGCAGGAGAAAACCTCGGGCGGATGCACTTGCACGGTGGTAATTTTTTCTGACCGCAAAACGGACATAAGCGATATTGGGTGTCGTTTTTCAAGACGAGCAGAGCTGGAATAACGGCTTCCGCGGAAAACGGCTTGGTTCGATCATTAGCTGCGCGGAAGAAAGGTTCTCGGAGGAAGACTGCGGTAAAGCTTCTGGATGTCATGGAAGTGAGATACTGGAAGATGAAAGTAACGACGATACCATGTTCCGGCAGATCAAAGACTTCTAACAAAAGTTTTCGCTTTGTGTCCCTGACGAAGCGAAAGGTCATGAATCGATCCCTTATGGTGGCTGACGGGCAAAGTTTACGGAAGTCATGGTTTTGAAAGGCGCTGTCCATGATGCCAAAGCCTACGGTGGCTCCGTGAGCGTGAAATGCTGGGACGAAGAGGTAGTGACCGAACATGCGAGAGTCATGAAGGCTGGTGAGAAACGGGTCGGGGAGGAGGGCCGCGCGGGTAACAGCGGTTTGTGAAATGGAGCATAGGTAGGCAGTGGAGGAAAGAATGGGCGACGCAAAGTGTGAGAGTTCGATTGCATCGGGGGTGAACAGGAAGTCATGGATCCAGGGCTCATTGCAGATGTCGACAAATGGGGCGAGGAGATGGGCTGTTGAGGGTGAGGGAGGAGGCTGGCGGGGGATATGGGAGCAAAGGGAGAGGAGTTCTTGAAAAGTGGGGGGTGGGGGTAAGGTGACGGGCATAGTGGACAACGTTGGTACGTGCCAGGCGGAAGGTGCATCCTTCAGTACTGAGACAAGCTCTTTCCGCACAGTATTACGCACCTGATTTGATTCGGCATACAGGGGGGGGACTCGCATTAGTGCCGTTTTTATTATTGCCACCCTCCCATTAGTGCACCCCCGGACGCATGAACACGAAAAGTGCCATGTGTTATACGGGTCCAGCTGTTAGGCTGTCTCCCGTCCGTGTCAAACACAAAAAGCCCTTTTTAGCCCGATCCTCCTCAAGCTATTGCACACCGTCCACCGACTTTAGCTTGTAGTCGTTATGGCTCCGGTTCCAGAAAAGACGAAAGCGACTCGCAAGCGTCTGACCATATCGCAGAAGCACGAAATCGCAGATCTGCTCGACAATGGATACCGTACCACAGCCGTTATGCGACAGTTCGGCATTGCCGAGCGGACCGTACGAATCATCAAGGCAACTGCTCCCGCATTGCTCCGCGTAGCCAACCAGAAGCCCCAGTCACTTCAAGCGAAGACCCGCCAGTCCATTATGGTCCCCCATCTCGAACTGAAGCTCCTTGAATTTCTCAACTATGCCAGATCAGCAAAAATGCCAGTAACACAAACTGTCCTACAAACGCGGGCCCTCATGCTTAAGGAACAAATGCTCAAGTCTCAGGTGATGTCACCTACCTGTCAACAGGTAAAGATCGCACCACGCTTGACAAGTTCACAGCATCTCGTGGATGGGTAGAGAAATTTGTCAAGCGACATGCTCTTCGTTCTGTAGCCCTGCACGGGGAGGGAGGGCAAGTACAAGTGCAGGAAGTCGCAAAAGACATCAACATCCTGCGATCACGTTTGCGCAATTTCGACCCAGAGAACATCTACAATGTCGACGAAACAGGCCTGTTTTTCAAGCTGCTACCTCGACGCAGTGCGTGCGGTGCGGAATCCACCTGAAACACAATCAAGTGATGAAGATGAGAGCGCTGGGGATACGATAGGAAGAAGCGCTATACCCTCTGTGCTGGAAATCGCGGAATTGTTTGGAGATCTGGAACTTCTGGCATCTGAGTGCCAAGTTTCAGACGCTTTATCGCATCTAAGGTCAGCAAAGCGCGCGTTTCTCACTGCAAAACATGATAGAAAACCAACGCCGATCAGGCAGATGTTAATTTCCGAGTGCCTGTAAATGGATGTGACGGCGTCACTTACTAATGCCACCCTCCCAATAGTGCCGTTTTTGGGGTCTCACACGGGGCGGCACTAATGCGTAGGGTCCCCTGTACAGTAATCACAAAGGCCATCGCATGCGGCAGCCGACCCTCATTGGTGCCACTTGTCACGTGAGGTGCTGGCATTGAACAAGGCACTGTAGAACAGCACAACAAGGGTGATTTCCACCTCTCACTTCCTTGATGACGTCAGTGTGCAAGCGCTTGCACACATACAACTGCAACTTCTTTCCTTCCCGTTTGTGACGCTTCAATGGCGGTACCAACGGTACTGCCCCAGCATGCAATAATCTCTCGATAGGAGAAACCACTTGGTCGACCATCTTTGGCTTCTCGCCAGGCTCCTGTATTGAATGGTTGTCACATGTAAGCAATACAGTTATGGCAATTATTGGCTGTCTCAAGACCTTGTGGTACAATGACATCCAATTACGGCTTTGGATTTGTTGATAGGATTGACTAGGAAGGGTTTAATATGCCGACACCAACTTTTAGAGCTTCCTTAAATAGACTAAGGAACAAAGTTTCCAACTTAATTTTTCTATTAGTGACACTCCCCATGCCCGTGTGTCTGTTTTGGTTCTGTTTATCGTGAGGGTTCTTATACGTATCACCGGTGCCTTGCATCGAGAGACTACTCTACTTGAGTGCATCTCAAGCACAGTTCATACAGGGGGCAATCGAAGAAGAAGATCCAATCCTTCTTCCAGGAACGATATTATTTTCACCTGACTTGCCAGCAGTGCACTTTTCTTGAAAAGAGCAAAGTACGCTCGGCACGGTGAGAACTACTTGTAGAGAGGAGGGGTTGCTCAGAAAACAGTCAGTTCTATAGCCCAAAATCTGACTGTCTAAGCTGAGCGGCCCCTCCGCTAATCTCCGAAACGTATTGCCTCCCTACTGTTCCTAACACTCAAAGCAATTGTTTTGTGGTGCGGAGCGAACTTTCTACTGTACTATCCTAAGGCATTCTTCTAGAGGCCGGAACTCACACAGCAATGATGCCAATACAAACATTCTTTGACACAGTTCACTTCCACCAACACTCATCTCAAACATAGTGTTTTTCCCTGACATGCCTTCCGAATATATTCAAAGGATACTACCCCTACAAATGGATTCCCTGTCTTGATGCAAAACCCCATTCCCATTGGCAACCCTCTATGTAGAATTCGTTGGATCCAGGTCCCACGGTGCCTGCAAGATGTAACAAAGGCTCTGAAAATCCTCCGTTCCTGTCCGAAAAAAACGGCGTCAATAAGAATGTAGCAAGGACTTCATGTCTTGTGCCTAAGGTGTGCCATTGGCGTTCGCAGACGATACCAGCAATGTCGGCAATGTTATCTCCTTCCGTTCGTAGGACAGGCATGTTATCTCTCTCTCTACGGCACTTAAGCACGTATTATAAATGTTGATATTCCCCTCGTCCCGGAAACAACTGATGCTTCATCCTCCCTCAATGGAACAAATCAGGCGCTCTGTCTCCAACCCTGTATCCGCGTTCATTTCTCATGAGTTTGCATCAGCTCCGTATCTACACGACACCATGGTTCTTTCTTTCGGTTGGTCTTCTACACTTCCGGACCCCTTTCCCGGCTATTCTCAAAACTATCATCGTCTGCGTCGCTTTCCGACTAGTTCCAGTCATGTATCACGCGAACCGCACTGAGACTATTCTTGTCGCTCGCCTCTGGCGCGCCGTGAAAACAGCAAATTCTTTCTGCTCATTCTTCAGAAAGTTTCGTCTCATCTGTGCAAACAAACTGCACTGCTTCGCTTTTGCCTCTCTAATCGTCAGAATTGTTATCCTTCAATGTGGAATAGCTGACACCGCACGGCTCGCCCCTTTCAACGATACAGTCCTCTACCGCAGTGCTGGCTTTCGGAAGGGTCTTAAATGTTTGAGTGGATCCTCAAGGAAGCAAGAACGTCAGTTCATGATCGACGAAGCTCTTAATTGTGGCCTCTTCGTAGCTCCAGAAAACGAACCTGCAATGCATTCATACGCTCAGTTTGTTCGTGCAATCGATGGAAACCAAAGTGCATGCCTACCTGAAACCAAAAAGATAAAGTTTGGCCGCATCGACCGCGACGAAGACAACTTTGCCGGACCGAAGGATGCCCTTGCACTTGATCTGAAAAGCCTAAGAGACGCATGCGAAGATGTAGATGAAAGTTGTTCTCATGTCGCTGGCATCAGGACGTTTTACAACACAACCTGGGTCATGTTGAAGTCTCCACCACGTCGCATCGTGCTACATCTTAGAAAAGACGCTGAGCCCAATCTTACAGCCCTGAGGGAAGTGATACTTGCGGAAGCCCAGGGACTGCATCCTCGAGTAATGACAAGAATTTTACTCGGAGTGATGCTTACGAATCAGTATGCTCCATGCTTCATGCGGGGGCGTTTCATCGAAGGATCCGTTAAAACTCCTCACCTTACAATTAATCCCAGCTTACTTGCCCTTCTTCTTGCTATGGAGGCCATTCTCTGGAACATTCCGATGATGACTGAAACAGAAGACCGTTGCGACTCAGGAGCCCCCGTCGACGATACATTGACGGAACTAGTGGGTGCAACCATCAGCGATACTGATGTCTTCGACTAGTAGAGTTGCGACAAATGGAATGCTTTGCAAGTTGAATAGGGGTGGAGGAAAGAGATCTTCGCGCTTATAACAAACTGGAATGTTACCGTAAAACATAGTTTATGGCAGCTCGGACCTTTGCTAGGTATCCAGGGCCAGAAAAATGCTTGTTGCTCCTGTCAGTAGTAAAAACAGCTCTATATATCTCCTTTGCCCGCATGTAAGGTCAAATAGTCGATTTTGGACTACTTATGTACGAAACCGAACTCAAAGCCAGAATTGAAGCTGGTGCGTCCAGATAGTTCTAGGGAAACAAACGGGTTGAGAAGCTTAGCAGGCCAAGACTCAATGCGAATCGAGCAAGTTCGTAAGTGCCTTTCAATATTTGGCGGAAAAGAAACTGGTTTTGACTCCGGAAGTTTTGTTCTTCGATATCCTCGAAACCAAGTGCATTTTAAAAAATCGGACAGTTTAAAAATGCTTGACTACAAGCATTGTTTTCGAAAGGGTCACTCGGACTCTACGCAAGACGTGTATGCTAGGTAGCATGACGTAAAAGAAACAGTGCAAACACTTTCAATTAAAATTTTGAAAATTCTTCGTGCCTTTTAGTAGCTGATCACCAGATTGAATGTTTATGCTTAATGATTACATGATTACGCAGCACCACCCACTTGGACTCATATTGTGTTGGCTATCGCTTTCGTAGTCCGAGCCTTGTGAACAAGACCTGCTTGCCGTCAAAGCACCCAGTTCATGCTGCTCCGTACCATCAGTACACTCGTCTGCATCAACTGCAACGTCCTCAGGGGCTTCTTCACGCAACTTCCCACAGCCCTTCGAGCGGTTATTTCGTTTTCTCAACTGCTCCCCTCCAGCAATCAGTAAATCGTCGAAGGTAATTGTAATGTGCCTCAGCCTGATCTGGTCGGACTCCCGCCGCTCACCAACAATTTGCAGTATGTCTTTACAATAGGAATACACATGTGTAGTAGTGCGCAGTGGATGGTAAATGAATTCGAAGAAGCCGACGGCATTCAACGCGTTTCGGGAGCCGTTGATGGGGATCCGTCGCTTTAAAGCGCGAACATCGATGCGAAGTTCGCAATCCCTGAGACGATAGGTCGTAAATGGGGATTGAGCGACAACTACACGTGTTTATCATGAAGAAGCATGAAGCTGTAGAGTATTGTACTCAGTGTGTTTGAGCTCTATGAGGTCCTCCATCAGCTGCAACTCTTTGAGCAATACGCATATGTTTATTGACTTGGAACTAATGTTACCTCGCCTCAATTACTTTCTGCTACTCAATATTTTATTTTTTGGGGTTGTCGCGGCAGTCGAAACCCCATCGAGATAGCCAGCGATCGCAGTCCAGAGTTTTTGACAAAATGTTCACCCGTCTGTTGCCACCAAAATGCACCTGAGCGCCCCCCTAAACGCAACATTATCTCAAAACAAAAAGGAAAACTGCCTCTGTCGCGACAGGCCCGCGTTTGGGCCAGAGGGCTATACTTTCAATAGTGCAGCCTCGTGTTGTGCCAATACACCCACCCATTTAGAGCACTGCCTCCAACTTTATACTGTAGTGCGTGCATCCAAGGGCTAATAATGCAGGCCCCTACTAGAATAGTGACCTCGTGTTTCAGATGCTGCACCTCCATACAGTATAAAATATTACAGCCGGCACAATTTACATCAAGGCTGAGTTTTACTAAAGTGCATCAAAACAGATTCAACCCTCCTGTCGCTCAAACGGAAAGATGACTGTAATACCGTCAATGCAGCTGCATGTCCCAGCCTACCGGACTCCAGTGGGGATTTTTTTATGGAAGTCGCAGGTTAATCTCCAAGAATATTGGTAGTTTCAGCATGTGGAAACCCATCCTGGTGGCGAAATGGGTACCCAATGCATTGCTCTCACGATCCTCTTGCTTTAATCTGTTCCGCCATCTATCCCGCCATTCTTGCTATATGGCAATCCCATAGACAGTACAATATGCTCATAACGGCATATCATCTAGTCCCTGCTCCGCTCGATGACCCTCTCCACAAATTCCAGTAAAAGGGCTGCTGTTCCCTTCGCAGGGATGGAACCAACAATTACTCTTGCACATGACGCGCCGACTGTGTGAGATTAGTGTAATGGGCCTCGAGTTACGTTACCGTTTCTGACGAATTTCTATGGCTGATGGAGACCGTGCGGCAGCGCCAGCCTTTGCACAGTACAGCACCATAGCACTCTCACTCAGCCAATAAAACGCTGCCATGGAAAGTACTGAAAAAGAGGTACAGCAACGAAAGGCACACATGGGCTGCCCTCCTCAGCATCCAACCCTCTCAGGGGCTCCTGAGGAGCAGTTGGATGAAAGATCAGCATGTGCTTCACCCAAATTCTTCTTCGCTTGGCAGCAATTCAACATCGCATCCGTAAAATACAGTGTCATTTTCTGGCTGAACAGGATGGTCACGTTATCCTTCCCCCCTTCACCGCTGTTTTCGTCGCATGAGCTAACATCCACCGCTAGCATCCAAAATGATCATCCTGCAGCATCCAAGGGTGATGTGAGGCGTGACGTGAATGCAATATAAAGGATTTTGTAACAAAGTCAAATCTCCCGCTAGTCAGTATGACTGCGACTTGAGTGCTACACCGCCATATACCTGGGCATGAGTCAAGTCCTCCTTCTAGCAATTCTATTGGTGTAAATAGGACATCCCGTTCAGTACTGTATGTGGCCCTGCACTTCGTCTGATGCTTTCTGGGGCAGTGACGGAGTGATACGCTTCTAGTGGACTGGAAGAGTTCCTCTTCCATGGCTACATACATCAAAAACGCAAGATTCTTCAAGCCTCCAGGTGGGAGAGAGACTTCTTATATGGGGATGGTATACGTCCTTCATCATGACGAGATGGCGATAATGCCCCTAAATTATAATCCTTCCTCAGTGAACTGCAGGTAAAGAAATTAATTTACAGAGGCCGCTTCATGAGAATTCATATTTTCGGGTCCTTTTTACGGTGGTCAAAATGCGGTTTTCACCGTGACGATCTCGACCACGGTGAAAACGGCTGTTGGTAAGATTTTCCGGACGTTTAGCATCAAAACCCTATTTTCACGTTTTAAATTTCGTTGTACATGTGTCGTCGCTGTCGGCAGTAGTTTCTGTCATATCGAAATGTTGCGCATTGCTGTTCCCAATCTTCAAATCTTCGAAAATATTACTGCTAGCCGTGACTTTGAGGACCAGTTATTTCTACCGTGGCCAATTTGTCACGGTGGAAAACACCATCGGCACGGTGCAAATGACCCCCAGAAAACAGAATTCTCATGAAGCGGCCTCTTACAGCTTGTCGGAACATGCATGGAATGAACGAGGGTCTGCAGAGATACGCACAAGCGTTGTCTTCAAATTTGCATTCGCTTTCCCATATTGCACTGAAGATTTCTACCCCTTTGGATTAACACCATCCACAGGGTGGTAGATGACCAAAGCCTCACTGCCTTTGCCGAACATGAGGTTAAAAACACTGCAATTCCACCGTTTGAATATCCTCAATCTCAGGTAGAAGGAAATTGCCCTCAACAAAGACTTTTCATGCAGTGCAGACCTTATTTTGCAAGGCATTTCTAGTCTCCACTGCACAAAGACTGTATATATATACATATATTCTAGGCTGCGAAAGCATGGCCGTCAACCTCCTTTTGCAAGCAATTGAGCGTCACTACCACAAATCCTGACAAAGGATATCTCGCCGACTTCTCGGGGACAGTTTCGTTCCCTGCTTTCTCTTGCTACAACAACATTTTGTTGTCAATTACGTGCAGCCAACTCTCTTTTCCCAGCTCGAACCATACGTACGGATCATAATGCCGGTGTCCCTTGTCCATGCACTGTCCTCACATCTCATTAGCGAAGAAGAATGCAAGAAGCGCTATTCCACGCTTATCTCCTTATCGGCTCGCCTCCTCGGAAGAGCGCCCATCGACTTCTTTCGGTTAATGAGTGTTTCCGAGTTGCTGCACGACCCTTGTGCCGCCCTAATCCGTTCAGGGTTCAACATTCCAAGCTGTGAAGTAGGCCTCTCCTCCATTTCCTCTGCACAAAGAAGGATGGCCCTTTTCGAAGCATCCCGCACCCACGGCACGCCATACTGTACATCGCACTGTGCTGCTATAGGTGACATATTGAAAGGCTCATTTGCAAGTCAATGCATACGGGCGGGAGGTCTGGCAAACTTAATAAATATTACGAAAGATGGTGATGAACTAATCCGAAATATTGTGCATGAGGCGTGTAGCATCCCTGCAAGAACAAAAACACGGACCAGGGAGGACTTTCTGAAACGCTTTGGGTCAAAAGGATTAAATGAACTAGCACTCATGGTGTCTTTCATGGGCTGGCTTAACTTTTGCAACGACATTGCAGGAATGGAACTCGAGAAGAGCATCGCCCCAATTTCAGAAGCCGTTCTTTCAAGAGATACACTACCATCAGGAGTTCCGTATGTAGTTTCCAAAGAGGGAGACGGCTCAAAGGCAGAGTTAGAGGCAAGCTTGATCTCTGGTGAGAGTTCAATTGGGATTTTGGGCCGTCTGCGTTACCATGTTCGAAACGTGATTAATTTGTGCGAAACGGTTCCCGCACTCATAGAAGCAGCATCAGAAGAGCAGATGCTACTCAAGGGCATACCGCATGCCAGCACTGAGATTCACGAATGGCTATTACAGAACGTGGGGTGTGAGTTGGAGCTATCTAGGAACGTTACCGACCCAAATATATTGCGGGCAATCGCTTTTTGTTGTAGACACATCTTCTTACGGGACAGCATGACGCCGTGGAGCCAGTTTGAGAAACTGGCTTTCTTTTATGCGTTTGGAAAACAAGCGCAAAATACCACTTTTGTGAAAGATGCGATCGCGATTTTCACTGGGCAAAGATTGAGAGAGGAGTGGCCAAGAAAGACGACACGGGAGCGGAAAGAAGACGAAATGTGGAGCAAGACAGCCACAACGGTAGAGCAGCAATTTGACAGACTGTACGAAAACAAGATATCTGGGAGAGAATGCACAGATCCGTTTTCCGCTGCTCTTTACTTTGTGGCGAATGGTGCTGGCCATGCTGGGAGTGTTTCAACGGATATCATGACGCAGACGATTGATCTTGTTGATAACCCTGGGGCTGTTGTCGATTTGGTGGCGGTGTGTGGAATCTTCGCGATGCTCCACCGACTGACTGTCTTCCTCAAAACCCCGTTAAGTTGAAAAGGTTATACCAAGTGGTGTTCCTTGAACTGAGTTGCCTCGTGGCCGTCTTTACTTAACGACTCTGCAGGTTAAGTCGTGTAGACATTAGAAGTAAAATATTGAATGCTATCTAAAAAGGATAGGGCACTGCCAAGATGGCTGTAGTGCTGTGTTCTGTGTTAGATTGTACATTTGCGCGCTGCCCGAAACAATGCTATCGTGAATGCCAAAACCATAATCATTGTCCCACAACATCTGTATTGCGTTGTCCTTGAACAATAGCTTTCTTCCCGCCCGGTTAGACAAGCAAGAAAACCTTGGTGCCATGTGTACACGATTTCTACGGCCGCTGCGCTATGAGCGCCGTTCATTCATCAAGTGCCCAATCTTTCATGCGATTCATTAGAGCTAGTCAAGAACCATTTCATTATTTATCTGAAGGGCGGCTATTTGTTTGTTTTTTCTTGCTGGCTCATGCAAACAACTGACGAAATCAACAAAGAGAGTCCTTCTTCTACATGTACTACAAAGGTTCTCCTAAAAACTATTGATGCAGTAAACAGAATCGTCATATTCTTTCTCAGCGCCAAATCACGCCTGATTATCAGATCGAACCTCTATGGCGTAGAAGTGGAACGGGGCCGTGTGAATGGATGGGGGAGATAACAGTCGACTTAGTTCCATTCTTAAGCGTCTTTGTCACAAATAACTTCTTATACGATAAATTTCCATCCTAAAATCATCATCGATAATGTGGTGAAGGGCACGATGGCCGAGTTTACTGAGGCTGAGGGTCGGCGCACTACTAGAAGGGAAGAGGCGCCGGGGATGGCGTCGCTAGCTGGGCCACTGCGCTCTATGATACCTGTGTGCGTGTCACAGGTGTGTGAGCTGTGCATGGGAATCGTGACAGATAAGAATTCGTCAGGAACGGAGCTTTTCAACGTTCTAAGCTCTTAGAGCACCCCTAGTGTCTAGACGACCGGCAATTTGCCTCATATGAGGTCAGGCTTGGCCTCATATGAGGCCGGGGTTTTTTTTGCAAAAAAGTATACATTAAATCGAAATTTTATAAAATCAGTTTAGACACCATTTCTTTAACCAATATTCCCTCGGCAATAGCTTCCTGCAAAACATCGGGATAGCAGTTATGAATACACAGAAATACTAAGAATCTAATATAGTATCAACAATCGGATGATATTTTAATCAGGCGTTTTGGTTTCGAAGATATCAACAAAAAACGTTTTGATGTTCTTTAAAAAAGCTTCTTCTTTAGGTATTCTCAAAAAGCCTGGAAAGGAAGTGCAGATCTCACCAAGCTCCACCCTTCCACAGCGCAGAAGTCAACTGCGCTGGCGAGAGTATCTTTTTCCATTTTGTTCAGCTAGCACAAGTCGAGAAAAATTAAGTTGAAAAGTGACCTCATATGAGGTCAAATGGCCTCATATGAGGCCATTTGTCACCTAGACACTAGTGGTTGAGTAAATGAGTAAAGTTTGATTTTTGGAGATAGATTTGGTCACGAGCAACTCTAGTGGAGTATCTCTAAAACATTTACCATTTTGAGTAAATCTATCTCCAAGCAGCCGACCGGATGGAGACAGATTTACTCATTTGCGCAAATAGAGATGCGAGTAGAATTGTGCCACTTGGAAAAATTACCAAAAACCCACGCCAATTCTATTGACTTGGCGCGAGCAATGTTCTCTGTGCACAGGGAACACACTGTTTTCTGTGCACAGGGAACACCCCCAACACCCCCATCCCAAGCTGAATTTACCCGCCACTGCCACCCTCCTGCATTCTTCCTGACGCCTTCCCTTCTCCCTTTCCTCCTCCTCTCCTCCCTGCCCTTCCTCCAGGGCATGATGGTGTCATGTGGGGCTTGAGGAGATAGGAACCGGAGACGTCCCCCACAGTATATCCGTACAGCACCACCACTACCATCCCTCGTACTGGATGACCACGGCTGCCGAAAGAGCCAATCACTGCACAACACGTGTGAATTTGCCCTCTAACCGGTAGTGTTGCGCCTAGAATCGCGATCTCCAAACGCTAAATTTCTCATATTTAACCTCGAAATATAACTAAACCAGTAGGGGTGCTCTAAGAACACGTTCTAAGAACAGCTATAAACCTCGGCTACAGTAAAGGGGGGGCGGGGGGGTGCCCTCAAGCCCGGACAAATGGTGCAGTATTGGCCATCTAAACCCTCATACATATCCCTGCAAAATGATTTTGGAACCAATAGAAAGCTACGATTCCCCTCTTTCTTACACGTTGAGATCATACACAGCCCATAGAAAAAACTAACAGGAGCTGCTGGCAGCTCTGCTGGCACCAGCAAGTACACCCCTTTGGAATGAAGACAAATTGTTCTAAAGATCGGACACAAATTATCCTATTTCTATTCAAAAAAATTAAATCTCAATCTCTAATATTTGTCTACAGTGCATTCCCGGTACAGTACCTCTCTTCTTCAGGGTCCGAATCTGCGCAACAACTGTGCGCTCCTTCCAGAAGCAATGCCGTTCTATGCTCCTGCATAGAACGGCATTGCTTCTGGACATCCGGACAGACGTCGCATTTTACTGTACACTCATATTTGGAAGGCCATGTTTGAAACCCCCGCCTAATCACAATTGCGGTGCGCGGGTTCGACTGGTAAGAATTGTTTTTAAAAGTAACCACGTGCTTTTCCGGTACGGTCTGCTGAACAGAAGAAAACAGAGGAGGCATGGCTGGCCGGGGCAGAGAAACTCACTATTCACGGCTGTTTACGAAGAATTCCTGATTTTTTGATTAGAACACTTTTGTCCATAGTTGAGGGCACCCATCTTTTTGCCATATTCTGTAAATTTATAGATTTGCCTGTTGGATGTAACAGCCTGCTCGTCTGATATCTTCTGAATTTTATGTTTGTTTCATGGTGATTTCCAATGGAGCTCATATGGCCTCTGAAGTAAAATCTCGTAGATTATTGTTCTGGGTGTGCAAATAGGGTTTGGGAAATGAAAGCGATGGACTTAATACTAGAATTGATTACAACTCCAACAATACTGTAGGAAATGTACCAGTGACTACGACAGGTCCCTTGTATTCCAGACAAGTAAACACCAACTGCTCAATATCATACAGGTTATCGGGCCCAAGATGAATACGAGATAATATCGAAAAGCTAAATGGAAAACACTGCCTTCTTTGGAGCACACAAGTAAACTGGTACTTCAGAGTGGGGACTTGTGAAAGTATGTATCGGAAGACATCAAACCTCCTGCCCGTACTAACGTTGCTGAAAACGAGATGATCTCACAAGAGCAGCGAAAATCAATAGCCGAAATTATCTGCAATGTGGATTCCAAGCATGTGGCATCTGCACTACTGAACGAGATGCGTAAATAAGTACAGGAAACTCTTTAGTCATGAAGTTTAGGCACTCCAAAGCTACACAGACCACACTTCGCCGAGAAGTATTTAGTATCAAGACAAGTGGGCTCCGTGCGCGCTTCGCGCGCCGAGCCAAGGAGGCGTGGAGGAACACTATTTGGGAAGGGTGGCAATGAAAATATGTAAAGACAATGGCGTTTACTTTTTTTGGTAACTACTGAAGGACCTCGGCGTACACTACGTTTCGCGTGGTTTTATTGGACTCTTGAGTGAGGACAGTGACGTTGCCTGGGTGAGTAGTCCTTGATAGTGCGACATAGAGTTGACCGTGCGAGAAGCAGTGATCTCGTAAGTCGAGACCAATGCGGCCACCGAAGGATTGGCCTTGCGCTTTGTTCGTTGTAAGGGCGAAGCACGTGCGAATGGGGAACTGCGCTCGGGTAAAGCCAGGGATGGGAAAGTTGTCATCTCCTGGTCTGCAGGGCATTCGAGGAAGACACAATCTGTTGCCTTGGTGTGACCCGGTGGTAACGTGTAGAAAGAGCAGGTTGTTGGTCATGTTCTCGATGACATATCACGTGCCGTGGACGTGACCGGTAGCGGGATCGAGATTGCGCAGAAGCATGACGATGAAGCCTTTCTTGAGCTTGAGCTTGTGGTCTGGTAGAGCAGATCCGGCGGTCAAGGTGTTGAGCATTTCTGTGGGATAGATCAGCGCGTTGGTGTCTTCGTTCTCGACCTTGTCTGCGCTCAAATACGTTCGATACGATCCCGGAATCATGTTGCCGATGACCTCGTTGACTTCCTCGAGCGGCCTGTTCTTTGTGGTGAGTATAACGCGCTTGGTGAGCCAGGCAGGGTCGGCGTGATTGTCTCCAATGCCTTGGAAGACCTTGAGGCATAAACTGCGGATGGTGTGCTCGAACGCAACGGACTGTGGTAGTGAGATCCATTCCGGGCGCTGTTCGCCTTGAAGTCTGCCTTCCCCGACGCTGAGGAGGAACTCTGGAAAGTTGAGAGCCTCCACATCTGCTGCAGGGTCCGCTCGGAGAGCAGCAAGGCGCATGTTCTCGGTAAGGCGCAGGAATCGGCACTCTCGATACAGCGGGGAAGCCTTGACGCACGCACTCACGATTTGACCTCTGGACCCGCCCGGAACGACGGGAAGGATTTGTCTAAAGTCTCCAGCGAGCACGAGGAACTTTCCTCCGAAGGGCCGGTCGGTTTGAATCAAGTCTCGAAGGGAGCGATCGACAGTCTCAATGCAATGTCGATGGCACATGACGATCTCGTCCCATATGATGAGATCGACTTGTTGCAGTGTACGGCCTGTGTCGGAGTTTGCGGAGAAGCTGCACGTGCTTTCGGCAGATACAGGAATGGGAATCTTGAACACGGAATGAGCGGTGCGTCCACCGTCGAGCAGCACAGCAGCAACAGCAGACGTAGCGACAGCGATGACCTGCTTACGGCGCGTACGAAGGAAGTCTTGAATGGCGCTGAGCACGAATGTTTTGCCTGTTCCGCCAGGAGCATCGAGGAAGAAGAGACGACCACTTCGTGTCGGCATAGAAGGTCCCGCAACGGCGCTTAAGGATCCTTGAAGCAATGCAGAGACGGATACGCCTGGAAGCAAGGAGCCCACTATTTCGTCAAAGGCATGACGTTGATTTGTGTTCAACAGCGGCAACGACGTCTGTAGTCGCCCTTCCCACTGCTGCGCTCGTGCTTCGGGGGTCTCTATCTCGTTTTGCTGTTCCAAAGCGGGCAGGCTGTCATCGGGCAGTGGGAATCCGAAGTTTGCGAGCGTCCAGTCGGATCGCACGGTCTGCAGAGCCTCCTGTACCTCTCGAAGTACGTAAGATGTGGCGTGGTGATCATCGCGAAGCTGCTGTCTTCGAATGGGTTGTCTGCGTGCACGATTGCGAATATCGGTGAGAAACATGTCCAGGTGGTCGTTCCACAGCGAGAGAGGGTCCGAAGGCTGGCAGTGTGCCAGAATCGTAGCAAAAAGATGAGAAAGAGGAACGAAGCTTGACCGGAATGAATCTCGGATTGCGTGCTTCCACTCGGCATCGTCGGCCAGTAAACCGAGTCGTAAGCAAGCTTGTCGGAAGCTGGTGCACTGCTCGCCGTCGATATTTCGCAAGTTCTCGAAGGATGTTGCCCCTGGCACTTGTGTGAGGAGGAGGCGAAGAAAGTAGCGCTCACCCTCCCTCGGACTGACAGTGTAGATTCGACCGACTACGTTGGCACCTGTACCACTGAAATCGTAGGCTTCCTCTTCGCTGGTGGCGTTCCGTCTTCGCAGGGTTGCTCTTGGACTCCATGACTTGGTGCGTGTCTTCCACGTAAAGTACTTTGGAAACTTGTGGTACCGAATATGCCGCGCGCTTGGGTACTTCTCGTTGGCTTTAAACCACTCGGTCAGCTTCGTGCCTGTTGCTGGTCGAAGCGCCGCCTCCTGCTCTCGCCCTTCCTCAAAGTAAACCGTGTGGTGGTTGGGCAGATGCACTGCAAGCCTGACTACTGGAGGATTGCGGTCTACAATGTCAAAGGAGAATAACCTCCATGCGGACTCCGATGCCGAAACGTATCTGGCATCTTGGAAGTTGGAGATCTCGTCGTAGCGCTCGTTTTCGGCAGTGATTTCCATGGTCACTCGGTCTTGTCCCTTGAACACATACTTGAAGAGGTACTTGATTCCGCCAACGCGTGACACGCAGAGTTCAACATTCAAATGGCAAGCGAATGAACGTAGAAGCACAGGACTTTGAGGAACGACCCAGGAGTTGTCTACCACGACGGGCTGCTGTCGTCGGCCAATACGGGAGGGTCGCTCGATGGAGACGCCACCTGCAGAGGGTGCCCTTCTTCGGTACGTGATGTAGTACTCACTGTCGGACTGGCTGGTTTCGTGTTTGAACGATTTTGGAAACCCTTTCCTGCAGTACCGCTCGCCCATGCACACGGCTGTTGGATTGTGTTCTCCACATGGATTGTGAATCATATGCTTGAGCACGACCTCTTGGAGTTCTGGATCTTGGGCAGACGGGATCTCGGCAGAGATAATGCGGTCGACGTTTTCGGGAGTACGCATATCATTCTTGGAGACTTCATCTAGGAAAAATACAACGTGAGCGTGGGGAAGACCGCGTTTCTGAAACTAGATGACTCGTACATGGGCAACAACGGTTCCGAATACTTCTTCGTTGATGACCAAGGACATGAGATCTTTCATTTTGAGACGAAACACACGTGCGCACAGATCCGGTCTGTCCTGAGGCGTTTGGTTCGGCAGTAGGGCTCTTGTGATCTCCGGCCAGCTTGGATTGCATGTCATGGTGAGGAAGATGTCCGGGTGGCCAATTTGGTTCGATATAGCAATGATGTCGTGCATCTGCTGCCTCATATAGCGGTCACCTCCAATATACGTGGAAGGGAGAATGAACAGTCGTCCCGCATGCACGGCATCGGCTTCATCTTCAGCACGACGGGAGTCTCCTAGGCTGTCGCGCAGTGAGGTGTAGTCGGCGGCTCGAAGTTGTGTCTGGTTGTGGCGGAGATAAGAAAGCCTTTCTGCCTCCACTTTGCAGAACTGGTCAACCAAGTATTGCTGAAAGAGTCGTGCTGCGTGCAAGATTGTGCTGAACTCGCCTGATCTTTCGAACAAATGCCATCCGTAGTACATCATCGGAGTAATCTTGGTACGTCTGCCGTCTTGAACACTGGAGAATCGAAGCTCTGGATACCATCCATCTCTACCGTTCGGGAACAAAAGCACGTAACTCAATGGATCGTATGCGCGATGACTGACTGAAATCGGATCCAGCACTTCGTTCCCGTTACTGTTCAGAGTCCCTCTCCTGCGCACGACGATATCTCTTCGCCCAATCTCTCCGTCTTCATTTCCAGGGATCAATGCGGCGACTTCAGAAGCTTCGGGACCATTGTACCGGCGCACGTGCTCATGACTTGGCCTGCGGTCGCCATGGATGACCATCTGGTACGTGGCAGGACAGTTGTTTTGAGGAGATTGAGCCCATTCTCGCATACACAGAAACGTCTGCACGTAGGGGTTGCATTCGTGCAGCATGTGTGTCAGTTGCGTCATCAGTGCCTCTTCCAGTTGTCTAGAGGTTCCAAGCCTTGTGCGCGTCTGGGTGGCGTAGTCAGTGTCATGAATGTAAACGGAAGCATAGGAAGGCGCCCGCCCTTCGGATGGCATCATGGGACCCATGTAATGGTACATCCCGCCCTGCATCGTCATTGTGGGGATAAAATTAGAAGGATCGGGACCTCTGTTCACCCATTTGGCGACCACAGATGCCATCGATAGCGCTACATTGTATGCTCGAATGTTCTTACGGAAGCTGCAGGCCCTTGGAGTATCATCGATGAGAAGAGAGCGCAGAAGAGCTGGCGGGTCGGGGAGAAGCGGCAATGACAGCTTCCCCTTCCCACAGCATGTGGAAAAAATGGGCCTTGCGGCAGAGCTGCCCCCCATGCGTTCTTGGACGAAATGCAGAGCTTTGCAGTGTGAACACTCAACACGGATCATGCCGAGATCGCGGTACGAAGGAGAGGACTCGGGTAGTGGAGGGAAGAGCTGTCGAGAGGCACTTCGAGCCTGGCGGTCGGATCTTTGCCGCGCAGCTATGACAGGGGATATATCCACAGCTCTTGCTTGTCGCATTGCCAAGCGATTCGACTCCTGTCTCGAAGATCTCAGTGGAGTATTTTCCTCGGCTCGGCCTCTTTGCGTTGCAATAAGATCCGATTCTCGCCGCCCCTCACGAATAGGAGTACATTCCTCCGCTCTAGTGCCTCGTGTCGCAATGCAATCCGCTTCGCGCCGCGCATTTCGGAGGGGGGTGGTTTCTCCCGCTCTGCGCACCCTGGCTCTCTCCCTCAGTCGACGGAGACGCTCCTCGCGCTGCTCAGACGTCTCTGCTGCTCTTCGTGCTGCAGCACGTTCACGGTTGGCTTGACGACGCGCTTCCCTTTGAGATTCGGTTTGTTGCCCCGTCCGGATTCTGGCACGGGCTCGACGTGCCTCACGACGTGCTTGAGCGTCAGATTCAGACTCTTGCGCTCTTCTTTCCCTTGCACGCGCGTTTCTTTGCTGCCGTCTTGCTTCTGCCACGTCTTCGCCCGCTGTTTCCGCCATTTATGTTCTGCTCGGCGCGCTAGTGTTATCCCTGCAAGTGCAGCTAGGGTTGACGCAAGTGCGAGGGGTCCGTTGTAGATCGCTATGAGTTGTAGCAAGCAGTCCTCAAAGGTCTAAACGCAACGTCAGCCAGCTAGGTCGTCCGCAAGAGCACTTAGCAAGAGAGTAACAATATAGGGCCTTTATTGTCTTGTACTATCCCGTGATTCAAAAGAACCAAAAACAAAATAGAAATAGAAATAGACTAATGGTCCTACTATACACAGGGTACAGTATTAATACTCAGAGTACGACCACCTTGTCTATTTCTACTCCCAGGGAGCCCGGTATTAGAAAGAACCTCTTGGCAAGGCTCTTCCCGCCGGGGTCGCTATGTACGCGCGCTCCCTTTTCCCTCAGTGCGGTGGTTAGGTTTTCCAAGCCCTAACGGCACCTACACTGGGTCTTATTGCAGCCTCTATAGTTTGACGGAGGCTGCGTTTGATCTTCGTTGTCGACGTTGAAAACAACGTCAGTCCGACGTCCGCAGATTTCTCTGCGGAGGCCGTTGTTCCGAGCCCGATACTACAACACCAAGAAATGGTGTGCTATCGGATTACGCTTCCTGCACAGCGGCAGACTACCACGCTTTACTAAAAGCAAAGCGCAATAGCACCTAGGGACTATCCGGATGCCGTCAAGCAATCCGGTAAACTTTTCGCGGGGAATGCCGTATTCAACCCACTACTAAGCCGGCATAGAATCACGATCGCTGCCTTGCCCAGACTCTGGTCACCACGCTACCAGGGAACTGTCACGTGGTGCAAAATTGCTGAAGGTTGTTGAACTCGAAAGCCGGTACTGTGCTGCCGACGTGCCGCTATGTAAAAAAGGTTTCTATTCGTGCGCGCTTTCGCCTCACCGCCACTTGTCACCAGGGGCGCCGCCACGTTTCGCCACTTGTCACCGGCACGCTACTGTAGTGCTGCATTGGTGTTACAGTTCGAAATTCAAAATAAAATTAATTTTACCGCCAGGTGTCGCCATTTGTGACTCGGGGCGGA